AGGCCTTTGGGGTGGCCCCGCGCTCGTGCCGCGCCCCAGGTGGGTGTGTCATCCCGTTACCCAGAACCGAGCACATCCCCCTAAGGCCCCTCGGCTGCAAAGGGCGGCTCTCCCTGTAGGTCCCAGGACACCCCGGGAGTGGATGCCGCCTTCCTCTCCCGGCAGTGTCCCCTCTTCCACCCGCACCGCCCGGTGCAGGCCCAGGCCCTTCTTTCCCTCAGCTCAGCCCAAGCCCCGTGTCCCAGGCGCTATCCTTCAGGGTCTGAGATGTCCCCACAGCATGGCAGATCCAACAAGCACCCAACTCCAAATTCATGCGCTCCCAGCCCGACTTGCCCTCTGAGCTGTTCCCGTGGCAGGCATGGCTACCCTCCCTCTTGCCTTGCTCTTGGCCTCGCTGCCTATCCAGCATCCTGCCACCGACTTCCATATAAATACCCTCTGTGGGCCACCAGCACCTCTCGCCTGGATGCTGACTGCCTCCAGTCTGCCCTCCCCTTCCACCTTGTCCTTAAAACCTTGCGTTGCTGTCCCATGGCACCTAGGACTGAGGCTGAAGTTCCCCGTGGCCTCCAAAGACTCCACCCTTTATTGTGCTCCGGCTCTGCCTCCTCTTTCTCGGTCAACCCCTCCTGCCCCAGGGCCTTTGCTCAAACTCTCTGCCTCCTGGAACATGGTTGTGATCTCCTCCCTCAGGGCCATAGATCCAGCCTTTTCTCCAAAGGACCCTGCCCTCTCTCCCGATGACATCCTCTCAAGCTTTGCTGTCTTGTCGCCTTTGTCCCTTTCCACTGTGAGCTGTCATCAGCCCCATGAAGGCAGGGACAAGGCCTGTTTTTGCTCGTCTAAGGTTTTTGCTCATTAGGCACAATGCCAGGCTGAGCAGTGTTCAGTGAGCACTGAGCGAACGAGCTGTCCACGCTTCTCTCCCGGGAGAGACTGGCTGGGTGGTGGTGGGTGTGGCAGGGTCCCTGATTTGGGGTAGGCTCAGGGCCTGTGTGGCCACAGAGCCGCATGAAACAGTGCGAGTTGGGGCTGCAGGCTGGGAGGCAAAGGGCTGGGGATGCCCTGACCCCTGCAGACTCCGGCTGTCTGATGTCCTCGAAGGCCTGCCCCCGCCTTGGGCTTGGTGTCCTGTTAGGAACTGTATCATCCGTCCCCCAGTGCTGGTCAAATGACCATCTGCTCCTGACCCTGGTGTTTACAGCAATGTAGCAGGGACTTTTGTGACTCAGGGTGAGGGGCAGGGGCGTTGGGGCCATCCCAGCCCTGCCTGGCTTCCTCTAGCCCCTTACTATGGTCAGACCCAATACTGCTGGGTTTGGAGAAAAAACCTTCCAGTGGAAATGCTGCTTCTGGGTGGCATCGACAAAGGGGGAAACTGAGCCGGGCGTGGTGGCACACGCCTGTAATCCCAGCACTCGGGAGGCTGAGGCAGGAGGATCGCTGTCAGTTTGAGACCAGCCTGGGCTACACAGTGAGTTCCAGGTCAGTCTCAACTACACAGTGAGACCCTGCCTCAAAACAAAAACAAAGGGGGAAACTGAGGCCCCAGAGTGCCAACTCCAATATCCTGCCCTGTTCCTCTCCACTCGCTGGCCCCATGGACCCAAGCAGAGGGGCACCTGTTTGGGAGGGTACAGTGGGTGTGGCTGACCTCCCCATGGGCCCTCGGCTGTGTCCCCTCCTGCCAGCCTCTACGGCTAGGTTGGAAGCGGCCCACACCGACTGTGTTTATCTGTTCGCTGCTCGGCCAGAGCCTGGCACAGTCCTGCCCAAGGGATTCCGAGGGATCAGCTAAGGACACAGGAATGGTTCGACCCAGGCCTCTGTATATCCACCAGCCTCCCCTTAAGCAGCATCTCTGCCACCCCGAGTGTCACGGGCTGGTGACTCGGTTCCAGGTGTGGAAGGCCTATGGACACGTGTGACACTCATCACCCTTCCCATGCCACGTCCTTTCTCATCGGCCTGACTCACTTCCTCCCAAGCTCCTACGCTGGCAGGCGGGGGACTGCAGCAGGGGTTCCAGCAGTGAGGCCGGTGGGGCCTCTGAAAGGCGGGAAGCAGCCTCTCTCCCATCTTCCCTGCCCAGATGAGCCCAGCCAAGATGCGTCCCCAGACAGAGGAGCTTGGCGAGGGGCCCGTGGGTGGGGTGAGGTCAGGCGCACCCACCCTTCCCTGAGGGTGGCGCACGTGCTTTCTGGCCAGAAGACCTGGGCTCGGAGCCTGGATCGTATCTGAGGGAGGCACGAAACACAGGAGTCTCAGGATGCAGTGACAGCCGGAAGGGGGCAGCAGACAAGAAGGGCACTGCCTCCCAGGCCTGGCACACGGTGGGCACCGGCCCTTTGTCCTTGCTCCCTGGAATAGGGCTGGTGAAGGGCAAGGGAAGTGGGCCAGCGACCTGCTCCACCCCTGGCTGAGGGCGACTTCCAGCCAGTTTCCTTGGAGGACAGGGACGTACCTGTGCACACAACGCAGTGTACAGGACATCGCTGTGGGATGAGGAAAGAAACAGGTGTGTGGTCCAATGTGACCTGAAAAGCGGGGCTTCCGGGAGCGCACAGGCATCAGGGTGTCAGGGCACTGGGAGTGGTGGTGTCCAGGTACGGGACAAGCATGGCGGAGCCAGGAAAATATCAACTTTATTTGCTACGCTGACAGCAGCTCCGAGTGGGGTCGGTGGCTGCCTTTTCTACATGGCGTGATCTAAAGTGGGGGACAGTAGTCAGCACTTCCCGGGGTGGGGTGCAGAAAGGCTGGGCCAGGAGTGAGGCAACAGCCAACCTCAGGGCTGCGGGAGGCGACAGCAGTGGTCTCTCTAGGGATGGTCCCAGTCGGTGGCTCAGAAGCAGGGAGGTCCAGCGTCCAGGGCGCCCAGGAGCCCAGCCTGTGCTACCTCACAGCGCCAGCAGCGGGCAGCGGAGGCCAGGGCCGCTCAGCGAGCTCCTGTTCCAGCTGCTTGAAGAGCTTCTTGGAGGCCCGTTTGGGCCGGAGCCGCTGCAGGCAGGCTGGCAGGCACTGGTCCAGCACGCTCTGCAGAGGGAGCGGGGAGTGGAGGGGCTGCCGGGCCGAGCCCGACCGCTCCGTGCCCCCTTCCCTCCCGGCCTGGCTCTGTACCCCACCTCCAGCAGGAAGGCCCCCACAAAGTTGCAGGCAGCCAGGCCCAGCAGCAGCAGCTTGAAGCAGGTGTCTGCGATGTCCCTCAGCCCTAGCGGCCCCTGCAGGAGGCCGGGGACCAGGATGAGGCCCACCAGGACAGAGCCCAAGAGCACCAGGGCCACCAGGAAGGGCACTGGGGGCGGGGGAGTCGGTCAGCGAGGGAGCCACGTGTGGGTGTGGGACCCCCAGCCCCATCCGCCCCCCGGGCCCAGCACCGTTGGTGTAGAGCGGCTGGCGGAAGGGCGCCCCCTTGGACACGGCCGCGGCCAGGATGAGGTACTGGAAGCTGGACAGGGTGAAGACCGCCGTGTTCTCGTAGTTGGGTAGGTTGTCCGGCGCTGGCACAGTCTTATTCAGAGGCACAAACCTGGGGTTCAGGGCCCGGGTCAAAGAAGGGGTGTGTACAGAGGGAGGGGGGCTGGGGGTCGCCGAGCGTGACTCACCAGGGCTGGGCCACCACCAGGAAGTAGCCTCCCAGCTGCACGCCGGCCACCAGGGCCACCTGCAGCAGCAGGCTGCTGAGCACAGGCACACTGAGCAGGGCCCCCGGTGGCCTCGCTCGCCCCAGGGCCAGGGCCGGCTGTGTGCGGCTCATGAGCACGGCCACCGTGGTGGTGATGACCAGGTCAATGGCCAGGAACTGCAGGTCGCCCAGGTTGGTGTTGATCTGCTTGGCAGGGGAGGGAGGACAGAGCTGAGCCCCGGCCCTACCCCAGCCCCAGGGCTGCTCCTGAGCTGTCCTCCGGGTGCCCTTCTAACTGGCGGTCCGACGGGGCGCTGCTCTCTTAGCCGGGGTCCCGCTAGCCTCGTGGGGAGCACAGCTCCTCCTCATGAGCGAGGCTCCTGGTCTGATGTGGAGGCAGTGTCCTGCCTTCAGGGAGTCCCCTCTGCTCCCCGGGTGGACCTTGGGGTCCCACCTCCAGTGGGAGAGGTTTTCCCACCTGCAGCAAATCCCCAGGCTGACGGGAGGGTCAGGCTGTGCCCCGGAGCCAATCGGCTACAGGGGACATGAGGTTACTGCTCGCGGCAAGCTCTGAACTTTGAGGTACACAGAGGACTGACCCAAGCTCAGGATTTGCACCGCCCCAGGGGGTGCACTCAGTGGCAGGGAGGGAGGCAGGGCCAGGCTCACGGTCAGAGGGAGGGGTGGGGAAACGGGCTCTGCCTCGGTCTCCCCTGCAAACAGGGAGCTCCTCGAGTTGGGGAAAGCTGTTGGCAGGCTGTGCCCGGGCTCTCATCCCGGGAGCCTCACTGCCAGGGCCCAGCCAGCGGCCCAGCCAGCGGCCCAGCCGCCGGACTTCGGGCCACACTGCCGCCCTCACCGTGTAGAGAATCAGGACCGAGACGAACTGGGTCAGGCTGTAGAGGGCCATGTACTTGAACATGCTGAGCGACGTGTCCAGGGAGCAGCGGCCTTCCCTGGGGAGCAGGGCGGGCATCAGGGGCCCAGGCTGACTCCCTCCTGGGCCCG